TCGTTGCAGCGGGCGGATGAACGCTTGCGCTGACGACGTCGGGGTGCTGACGAAGTGCACAGACGTGGTGGCGGTATCAGTGCGAGGTCGTCGAGTCGTAATTCTGGAACTCTATTGTTGACTGGAATCTTATACCATGGGCCCCCCGGATCCCGAAGCAAGTGGCCCAGCTCGGGACCCCAAAGCTGCCGAAAGCCATCAACCTCAATCAATTTCCCAACTGATGGTAAAAATGGACAGTCTGGCAAGGGAAGGGCTGAACTATGTAAGCCAACCTCGGGTATCCGTATGTCGTAGTGCTCGTTGACAGTACGATCACCATTGGCAGTTTCCAGAATATGCTCTTCGCGAATAGATATGCGATCCGATTCGGTCTGCGTCAGTTCATGTTTACCCTGAATATGATGCGCAGAACCACTGTCGATAACCCAAGATCGTGTCAATGCACCAGTCGAGCGTGGTGGGTCGACTTGCATCGTCGTTGTCTTCGTCTGGGCTTTCTTTGATGACTGCTTGGTAGCGTCGTCGTATTCTCGGATCGCAGTTGGTGTGACCACAGACTCCTTGTTTTGTTGGTTGTCGTATAGTTCTTTGTGCCACAGCTGTGCCTCTTTTTGACATTCTCGTAGAGCGTCTGCACTCTGATCCCACCATCGTTGTGGTAACGGGTGTGGTACATTGTCACCCTCGTTCGGCATCTCCTTCCACTTGTCCAATCTGGCCCTGCCAGATACGGTATGTAGGTAGTATTCCGCATTATGTGTGTCGAAGCGTATCCGACGGCGTGGTTTGGTAGATGTCGTAGTGACCTTAGTGTTGGCCATGAGGGTCTTGTCACGAATGACGTAACTGCGGTCGGAACGGCGTGAACGTCGATAGTTGGCTGGAGAACGTGCTCTGGCGTGGGGAGAACCACGGGGCGAACCACGGCTCGTGGAACGTCTGCCACGTCCTCTGTCACTACCGTATGATCTATCACGGCCGCGTGGGCTGCCACGCTCGCCGACACGGTTGTCTCGTCCTCGGGAGGTAGATGTCGAAGATCTGTCGTAACGACCTCTCGACTGACTGCGAGAATCTGGAGACCTCCTGGAGGATGAACGAGATCGGTCGTCGTGGCGTCGGTTGTCACGTCCATGGCGTGAGTCGTTTGCGTAGCGGACCCCCCCGCGTTGTGAAGAACGTTGGCTTCCTGATCCGCGGGATGGTGGTCGACCGCGACTATCCTGACTGGAGGTCCGTGGTCGACTCGGGCTTCGCTCGGGAGTCTTTGCTCCAGGTGTAAGATGAGCGTATTTGCATTTGTCGCCCTTAGGGCACTTGTTCTGTGCGAAGTCTTTACACTGTGCAACGTGTGGAAAGTTGCACTTGTCGCCTCTGGTGCATGTGTTGCGCTTGGCGAACTCGAAGCAAAATGGTCTCGGTGCTGGCTTCATGTGATTCGCAAGGGTTGACGCGCTGCGGCGGGAGTTGCCACCAGCGGTCGATGCTCTGGAAGATCTGTGGTTCTTTCATTCCCTGGAATATGTATGCAAAGCCTTGCATCGTTCACCATTGCGACAATTGCCCTTCTTCCAGGCAGCACATACATTGACTTGGGAACGTGTCTCGTGTTCGTACCGTAACTTATTCTGATTATTTTCCAATTGTTTGAGCTGAAGTACGTCCAAAACGCGCTGCCGGAGCCAATCATAGGTACGATTCGGGTCGCTGGTCTTCATGCGCTGGTACTCATACATGTCTTGTTGCATCCGGGCATGTCTGCGAATCTGTGTACGAAACAGAGATTCCAAGATCTTTGGATCGGGTGCTTCTCGGCACTCCGATAGTAAAGCGTCCCAATCAGTAATGAAACGTTGCAAATCTTCGTCCCTCATCCTCAGTTCTTTGAGGCGTTCGAAGTCGTGCAGGTCGTCATCAACCTCTCTCACTTTGTAGGACTGTAGGATGTGCCAGTAGATCTGGCGTCCATTTGACCATGCGTCCTGCTTTGTGATCTCTGGTTTCGATGAGCCTGATTTGGTAGCGCAAGTCAGAGGATAAGATGTCGCTCAGAGCGGTAGCGAGTTTGCAATCGATGCTCTCAAAGTCTCCACTGTCTTGTAAGCCCTCGAAGGTACACTCGGGCTGTTCAGCCACGCATAGGAAGGCGTATGCTTGGGATGGTCGCCCTGAGGCGGCGCCAAAGTTCTTCCGTACCTTTTGCTGCCACTCGAGCAGCTGCGTAATCTCAGGCAAGACAGGGGCTCGGACGGTGTCTGACTCTTTGATAGGAGTAGTAGTGTTGACCGAAACCGCAGACAATGGTTGCGAGGGTATCGGTACACCGTCAGTAGTCGGTTCTATGCGCACAGGAGACACATGGCGTGTCTGTGCTGAAGCTGCCGCAGAGGCTGCTCCTGGTGACGTACGTCGTTGTTGTCCTGCAGGAGCTTGTGGTGCTTCGGCGGACGCTGCCGCCGGCCTGTGCAGGTCGGTTGCAGGTCGAAGGTGAAGACTGGTGTCGTTGGTGTGGTCGATCGGCTGATTTGTCCAGCTTGTCTTGTCTTCGTGTATCTGGGCCACCTTTTGGCGTGTGTACTCATCAGTGTCCCGAGAACGTTGTGAATGCCGATCAAGTCGCTGCTCGTAGGCTCGGAGACGGGCGCCTTGTGCCTCCAACTCACTTTCCAGACGTGCGAGGTGCCCCTCGACACGTACCTTCTCAATATCTCTCTCACGAATAACCTGGGAGAGCTCCAACTGCGCGTGGTCCGCCGCCTTCTCAACCTCCTGCAACCTGTCAGTGGGGCGGGCGAAATCGTAAACCGTGCGAGGAGAATCCAGCTGGCCAGTCTGGGCTCGTCCGACACGCAACTCTGCCAGGGCGTCCTGTACACCAGGAAAACGCTGCTCGATCTCAGAGATCCGGTTAGCAAGAGGCTGCACGACAGCGTTGGTCGCATCAAGCCTTTGGGCGATGACTCTCTCAGCACGTTGCAACATGTCGATCAGGTTCGACGAGTTGGCGTGTGCTTCGTTGCGAAGCATCGCCGTAGTGTGGTCCATGTGGGATCGAAGATCATTGATCTGAGACCGAACGTCGCCAAGGTCGGTGGCCTCGGCTGGTGGTGGTCGGTTGCGGAGCTGGTCGTGGATCTCATCGTGGAGGATCCTGACTGCTGAAACGCCTGCGTCGCGTACGAGCACAAGCTGTTGGTCCATCTGCGCTGCGTAGTTGCGCAGGTTCTCGACCATCGCCGTTCGTTCACATGAGTGTGACACCTCGCGGTCAACCTGGTACTGCAGCTCACCTATGATGCGTCGATCTTCGGGAACCCTGGAATCGATGATCCCTAAGGCGCCGTCAAGATCTTGGCGTATGGCTGCAGTGTTGGCAGCGTTCGTCTGAACGCTCTGCAGTGGTCCAGAGTATTGCCTGGACACGAAGGTTTCAACCTGGTCTCTGAGCTCAGCTATTTCACCTGCGGCGGACATGTCCGCCAGCTGGTCGTCTGAGATGGGGAGGTGGGGAGCATAGGCTTCCCTCTGCCCCCTCTCGCGAGGAGCGCTTGGTCTCTGAGAGGCTGCGCGCGGGCTCGACCTGCTCTCGCCGCATGGGCCTGGGGCCCCGCGACGGTTGCGCGCGGACGAGCTGCGGCTAGGACCGCGTGTGTGTGTGGTGCCTCATCCGATGATACCTTGGGGTACTGCGTCTGCGGCTGTGCCGCCACTGGTCTACTGAGTTCCTCGAAGGTGGCTACGTGCTCCGCAACAGGAGCGGTCGCGGGGCTGGGGGTACCAGCGCCTGACGTCCATCGGCGGTTAGCGCGAAAGCGCCCTGGAGTATCAGGACCAGTGAGGCTTTCGCCTGACGCAGTTGGGATTGCTCCCGACTGAGGAGGAGATGGAGGATCGAAGGTGGGCGTGTGGAACTCCTTCCTACCTGTTCCTACTCCTTCTCCTGTCCCCCCGCGGGCGGCGCTGCGGCGAAGTTCAGCAGCTAGCCGCGCCTCGGGTCCGTCGGAGCTGGGGGGGGGGGGGTACCTGGGACACCAACACAGTCCGCACTAAGGCTCTCCAACTCGTCACCGAGCCGTCGCGCCGTCGGAGAGCTCGGACGCGAGGCCCCGATGGACCCCTTACGGCGCATGCGCCGCTTGGGTTCCATCGAGGCCGCGTGCGAGATCGCGACGCGGGGTTCGATGAACAGTGAGCTTTAAAGGGCTGATAACCTGTGAATGGGGTTGAAGTACAAGGGTACAGAACCCCTGATCCGTTGGTAGAGGGAAGGAGGGATAGATGGATGTCTTTCCCTCCTGCACGATCAAAGGTCTGATCGATCTGTCCCAATACCTGAGCCCAAACGGCCAGGCGCAGGAGAGGTGAGGATAAGGAGTATATATGAGGGTATTACACGGGTTCTATTCACACCCCCCTCCCCCGGCGGCAACGCAGAGGAAAAAGGACGGATCCCCCCTGCGTCCAGGCCACTGGATCCGCGCTGCGCCCCCCCGCGCTGGCCTCTCCCCCCCTGGCGCGCGGGGCGCGCCAGGGACGGCGACGGCGGCGCGGCCCGGGGGGGGGGGGCGCAGCGCGGATCCAACAGATCTGCGCGGAGCATAACCAACAAGTTTAGGGCTATGTTTAGGTTGGGCATGTCCTCCTACAGGCGGCGGACTTTGGGCGAACAAAAAAAAAACATACCCACAAAATGCTTCCGAATAATCCAACACCAATCGAAAAGATGCCCCCATATTATTTTTTAAAAATGCTTTTGAAGATCCCTCCTGTCGAGGAACAGGCCCGCCTTGAGGCTATGCCGCTTTCTCTTCTTTCGGGGATGGACAGAACCCCCTTTGATGAAGCTTGGTTTGGTGAAAACGACCTCGGGCTCAAACCTGGCGGGCGCAAGCCTGGAAAATGACGGCCACGGCGCCCTCTCGAGAACCGAAAACGGACAATTCACTAATCGACGTGCCAAGGTCGGGGTTCTGTCCACCCCCGATTCTTCCAGCATCCGTGACGCCACCGTGTCGAACGCAAGGACCGCTCCGACCCGCGCCTGCCAGAGCCGAGGGCCGGCGCCGCTCCGCGCCCTGGACCCTTCTGAGCAGGCCTTTTCCTTCTCATTCCCCCCCTCGCTCGCCGCCGAGAGAAGGGGCCCCGACCAGGACTCAGAGCCACCCGCACAACCTGCGCCCCGATCCTCGAGGGAGGAGGACGAGGAGGAGGAGGAGCAGGAGGAGGAGGAGCAGGAGGACGAGGAGGAGGGCGGGAGGAGGGAGGAGGAGGAGGAGGAGGAGGAGAAGGAGGAGGAAGAGAGGAGGAGGAGGGGAGGGGAGGAGGAGGAGAAGGAGGAGGAGGGGAGAGGAGGAGGAGGAGGAGGAGGAGGAGGAGGAGGAGGAGAGGAGGAGGAGGAGGAGGAGAGGAGAAGGCAGGAGGGAGAGGAGAGGAGAGGAGGAGGGGAGGGAGGAGGGAGGAGGAGGGAACGGGGCGGCGACGACGCGCCCGCGCGCGCCCGGGCGCGCCCCGGGCCTCGCGGCAAAGAGGCGCGCGCCGTGCCTCCTGCTCTGTTCGTGCCGGACGTGCTCCCAGGATGCTTGGGGTGGCCCAGACTGGCCCAGACGCCTCCCGGGGCACCCCTCACGAGCGCCCAGAGGGCCTCCGGGGCTCCAACAAGGTGTTGGAAAGCTGGGGGCACCTCGGCCCAGGGGCACTTCGCGCAACACCCGACTTCTGGGCATCGTTGAACCCGATCCCGATCCCCGGGCGTGGCCCGGGCCCCACAGGACGACTCCCCCCCTGGATGAGGGGATGCAGGCGGTGCCCTTCGGGCTTCGAGGGGTGTATCCACAGCTGGGGTGGTGGGATGGTGGGGATCGGGATAGGGATGTCGGCGGTGAGCCCGGGGGGAAGTGAGGAGGGGTGGACCTTCTCAGAAGGCTCGAAGTCCCCCGGCCTTCTCGGAAAATTCCTAGGCCTTCTCCGAACACAGAATATCTCTCAGAAGGCGCGAATAATTCTGAGAAACTCCGCCGCCTTCTGAGGAGGCCTTCCGCTTCTCACCTCCCCCCCTCGCTCGCCGCGGAGGATCGGATTCGGTTAGACTCTTAGACGATCCGCCACCATGCCTCTGGGCACTGAGAGGGCGTGTCTTGAGGTCCTTTGCCTAACCCCTGGAGCCTCGGTTCTCGGTCCTGCGGATTCTGTAAGGGACCCGGACTCCTAACTCTCGAAACCAATGTGGGTTCCTGCATCTGTAGAAGCCTCCTAGATGGGATCCGAGTAGATGGGGTCGCGCTGCATCGCCAATGCATCGCCGATGTATCGGCGATGCACCGCCGATGCATCGTCGACGTCGGGGATGCAATGGCGACGTCGACGTGAAGCACATCGGGCCCCACATCGAGCCGCATCGGCGATGCATCGGCGTCGCGGCGCAATCCTCGGACCCGATCTACTCCGACCCCATCTGAAAGGCCAAGACGCGGTGCGTACTCGAAAGCAACGTGGATTCATGCATCTGAAACCCCAATTTCCGAAATCTCCTGGGGCTTCCCCCGGGGGCGCGCAAACATGGATTAGCGATCCATGGCTTTGGCGCGCGGTCGCCAAGAATCCATGCATCGGGGGAGGTGCCCTCCCCAGAGTGCGGCCAGTGCCGCCTCGCTCGGCGGCGGAACTCCGCGACTCCCCATGGAAACGAGACCCACCGCTAATCCACGCCCCCTTACTT